ATTGAAAAAAAAATAGAATTATATCTTTCATGTTATTTTATAAGCTCACTTTTTCAATTTTTTAAATGCAACTCATTAAAAATTTTTATGCTTTCCATTTCCTTGGTTGGAAATAGCTAGAATAAGAATAAATGAGTAGAAAATTAACAAGATAATAGTAATAACTATTTAGACTACCATTATAATTGAGAAAATCCTAAAAAATACTTTTAAAATTTTAAAATCTCAAATAAAAAATAACTATGAAAACATGTTGTTATTTTTTTTTAAATATTGTCAATTATTATTAAAGTGTAGTAAATAAGATTGATATAAAATTTTAAAATCTAAAGATTTTTTTTTAAAAAATTCTAGCCGGTTAATTAATCTGGCGGCCGCTAGTAGGCGCGCCCCATTCACATAAATGAAGGGACATTTATAAGTTAATTATGTTGAGTTATGAAAGGACACTCTAATCATGTTTGGCCTGGTTATAATTTCTTGTTTCATATGTGCTCTTTATTATTTTGAAAGGTATTTGGATAAAATCTACATATTTTAAAAGTACTTTTATAATATACGAAATAAATATATAAAAAAATTATTTCGTTTTACGAAAAATATTTTTTAAAAACACTTATTTGCGTTGCTAAACACTCCATTTACTCCAAGAAAAATTCTTAGGGCCCAGGCTGAGCAAATAACCCTGAGTTAGATTTTCATTAAAAAAAGGGAAAATGACATTGAGGTCCCATACAACACAAAATACTACAAAAAGGTCCCAGGAAATTTGGTAATGATTCTGAAGTCCCAAAGGGACTTCAGTGCAATTTGATGAATTACAAAATGACGCCTCTGCCCCTGTTGAAATGCCCTGTTTTTCAGTCTGAAATGAACACTCTGTACGCAGGAAGCAAGAGAGAAAAAACCCAAACTTCATTCTGCTTCTTCTCCCATTCCCATCTGAAAATCTCATCCACTCTATTAATGTTAATCATCGGCAAAAATCGCTTGTGTTTTTGGTTTGGTGTGTGTTTGGTCATTCAAGTTGGGGTTTTATTATAGGTGGGTAGGGTGATTATGGGTGTTCTGTTTCTGGGTATATTGTGGGTGGATTGAAGGTGGGTTTGCTCTGTCTGGGCATGGTTTAGGGGGAACTGATGAGAAAGATGAAGGTTGGTGTGATTAGAAACCCTTACTGCGAAATAGGAAAATATGTTGTCAATAGAGCCGCGACAGTTGTCAATATAGCTCCTTGACTTGTCAATAATAACAGCATTGTACAGATTTACATTAACTGATTTTTTAAATTTTTTACACAAAGGCCATGCCTTCTGTACCTTGACTCATTGGTAGAGGTCACAAAAAGAGGAAGAAGGGCAACAAAGAAGGGTGAGTAGTTACATGAGACAAAACAAAAAAAAAGCCACTTTGATCCTAGACAAATGATGGCAAAAGAATTTTTTCATAAATAGAAGTGACATAAATTTTTTTGGTAGATGTCACAACACACACAAATAATTAGTTTAATACTGGATACATGCAACTATTTGTTTTTTTTAATGGGGTTATAAAATCAGTGTAATTACTGTATATGAAGTTGTAAATGAAAGTTAGCTGTGTATTACATTCTGATGCATAGTTAGTTGTCATTATCCGCACCCTTGATTGTCAATATATACTTCGTCACTTGTCACTCACTGCACCATTAGTTGTCAATTAATGTGCTGATATAAATTTAAAAAAATATGATTTTCTTTACATAATGTTATACAACGTCATACAATATCACTAATTCCTCAAAACTAATCCATTTTTTATAATGTGATATAGAATAGTTACTAAAAGTCAATTATCACTGATATGAAGTTATAAAATCACTTGTCATGAACAACAAATTCACTTGTTAATGGTTTTGCTCTGTGCTGATGTTAGTTTAGTAGCAAAGGAAGAAAAAGATGAAGTTTAATGTGGGTAGAAACTCTTAGCACGAAATGGGATATTGTGTTGTCAATCAGGCCGTGATAGTTGTCAATGTATGCCACGACAGTTGTCAACGTAGCTCCTTAACTTGTCAATGACAGTTGCATGATTCTTGATGCAGGTTTAAATTACTGATAGCGAATACATCTGAAAAGCATATATTTTGCTTTGTTCACATAGAGAGAAAGTTTATAAATGATAGAGAAGATGATATGAGATATGTGGGAGGTAGTGTAAGAACAACAATATAAAGGAGGGCACAAGTTATGAAGAATTGAAGGAAATTATATCATCAATTGCTAGAAAAGAAAGTGACTCATTTCTTTTGAAATTCTCAGTTGTGTATAGCTCAACAGCATCTGGCGTAGAAATTAACAACCTGAGTTATCCAAAATAACAAATAATATAATAGAAGTTAATAACAAGTGATATAACAATTTTATAACAAATGAATGTGTGAATATTAATAATTAATGTTCAAAATTTTTATAACTGGAGGTGTCATTTATTTATAATGTTAAGTGATATTTGCATTAAAATATAATTATTAAGAAGAAGGTGTTACTCAGATTTATGTTCAATTGATAAGAGACAGTGCCTACATTAACAAGTCACAGTACTCTATTGGCAAGTTACAGTGCCACCATTGACAAGTTAGTGTGCCACCATTGACAACTGATAATCCGCTGCGGCGTCTGACCATATCTGTCGCGGCACCCCCATCTGTCCCAAGGAGTTGCCATTCTGTGTAAGGCACCGGGGCACCTAATCATATCCGCCGCAGTGCCCAAACCTTTCGAGAAGTTATTCGGTGAACAACAAGTCACAGTGCTACCATTGACAAGTCAGTGTGCTACCATTGATAAGTCATAGTGCCACCATTGATAAATCATAATGCTTCCATTGACAAGTCATAGTGCCATCATTAACACTTCATTAATAATAATTATATATGACAATATAATCAAAATATAATATGACAGAGTAATTAAAATATCATATGATACTAAAACAGGTTATGTAACTTGAATTCATATTGTTGACAACTTATATCAGCAAATTAATTGACAAGTTACAATGCTCCATTGACAAGTTATAATAGGTCTAATAACAATGTAGGGTGCGAATAATGACAATTGAAATGACAGCAGAATCTAACATGCCAAGTTACACTGAAACCATTAACAAGTGAATATGTTGTTTATGACAAGTGATTTTATGATTTCATATCAGTGATTACTGACTTTTAATAGCTATTCTATATCATATTATAAAAAATATATTAGTTTTGAGGAATTAGTGATATTGTATGACGTTGTATAACATTATATAATAAAAATCATATTTTTTTTAAAATTTATATCAGTACATTAATTGACAACTGATGGTGCAGTGAGTGACAAGTGACGAAGCATGTATTGACAATGAAGGGTGTGGATAATGACAACAAACTATGCATCAGAATGTAATACACAGCTAACTTTCATTTACAACTTCATATACAGGTAATTACACTGATTTTATAACCCCATTAAAAAAAACAAATAGTTGCATGTATCCAGTATTAAACTAATTATTTGTGTGTGTTGTGACATCTACCAAAAAAATTTATGTCACTTCTATTTATGAAAAAATTCTTTTGCCATCATTTGTCTAGGATCAAAGTGGCTTTTTTTTTTGTTTTGCCTCATGTAACTACTCACCCTTCTTTGTTGCCTCTTCTTCCTCTTTTTGTGACCTCTACCAATGAGTCAAGGTACAGAAGGTCATGGCCTTTGTGTAAAAAATTTAAAAAATCAGTTAATGTAAATCTGTACAATGCTGTTATTATTGACAAGTCAAGGAGCTATATTGACAACTGTCGCGGCTCTATTGACAACATATTTTCCTATTTCGCAGTAAGGGTTTCTAATCACACCAACCTTCATCTTTCTCATCAGTTCCCCCTAAACCATGCCCAGACAGAGCAAACCCACCTTCAATCCACCCACAATATACCCAAAAACAGAACACCCATAATCACCCTACCCACCTATAATAAAACCCCAACTTGAATGACTAAACACACATCAAACCAAAAACACAAGCGATTTTTGCCAATGATTAACATTAATAGAGTGGATGAGATTTTCAGATGGGAATGGGAGAAGAAGCAGAATGAAGTTTGGGTTTTTTCTCTCTTGCTTCCTGCGTACAGAGTGTTCATTTCAGACTGAAAAACAAGGCATTTCACCAGGGGCAGAGGCGTCATTTTGTAATTCATCAAATTGCACTGAAGTCCCTTTGGGACTTCAGAATCATTACCAAATTTCCTGGGGCCTTTTTGTAGTATTTTGTGTTGCATGGGACCTCAATGTCATTTTCCCTTAAAAAAATGTTTACATTCAGCGTCACGGATTTCTTTGAACATAGGATTCTCTTCATATGATTATAGGTATTAAAAAATACCGATTTCCTTATTTCTGTCAATGTCTCAATGACAGTACGGTGACGCGGGCCAATTTGTCAATCACATGCACATCTCGAAAGCCTCAGAGAAACACATCCAAGATCCAGGAGTCACATGGGGCGGCCGAATTGTTTGACCACGTTGGTTAGAGCTTCATAGCAAAATCAAGCTGAGAACCCCATGCTTTGGAACATCCTAGAAAACCATTAATTCAGGTTCAGTTCCGAGAAAATGACATATTGCTACTCGTCTTCGGATTCTTGATACAAAACATATTTGATTAATTTGATTAGATTAAAAAAATTAGATAAGTTAGTTAACTATAAAAAATATAAGATATTTTTTCTAAAATATCATAATCATCTTTTTAATATCTTCTCTCTCTTTTCTATGATTATAGTTGAGAAAGTATTTATAAAAATAATTAAAAAAATTAATAAATATGATAAATAAATTTTATATTAAAACATAAAATAACTCGATAATTATATCCTATATTTTACATCGAAGGAGTATATATCTAATTCCCGCCGGCGACATCGGAGACAGAGGAGAAGAAACCAAATAGTGACGGATATGGGAGGAGAAGATCAACAATACCGTGAAAGTGAAACCCATGTTTTGATCCTTCCTTGTCCAGCTCAGGGTCACGTGACCTGTATGCTTCAACTCGCCGAGCTTCTGGCTCTCTCCCACATCCATGTCACCTTTCTCAACACAGAACACATCCACCACCGTCTCCTCCGTTTCGCCGACCTCCCTTCTCGTTTCGCCTCCCATCCCACTCTCCACTTTGAGACTTTCTCCGACGGCCTTCCCGCCGACGACCCCCGACGAGGAGATAACCTAGTAGAACACATCAAACAGGTGAATTTGCACGCCAAACCTCAGTTGAGGCAGATATGCTTGGAACCTTCTGGGAAACCCAGGTTCAGTTGTATTATCGGAGATGGCATCTTTGGACGCCTCACCAACGAACTGGGAGAAGAGCTTGGGATACCTGTCGTTTATTTTCGCACTTGCAGTGCTTGCTGCTTTTGGGCTTATTTTTCTGCTCCTAGGCTATTTGACTGCAATGAACTCCCCATTCAAGGTATACATTTTATCTAATCTTTCTAGTCTTCGTTTTTTCCCCTTTCTTTTGATGAGCATAATGTTCAATACAAACCTGACAATACCTTTACCTCTCCAAATTAAAAGATTTCAAGTTAACACTGTGTGAGATTTAAGGGGAAGAAGACTTGGATCGAATAATAACGAAGATCCCGGGAATGGAAAACTTGATTCGATGTCGAGATCTCCCAAGTTTCTTTAGAAGAACCCATAACGGCCAAGTTTATTTAGAATCTGTGCTGTTGGAGACCCAGCAATCGCTGCGAGCACAAGCTCTGATATTGAACACATTTGAAGACTTAGAAGGAGCGGTCCTCTCTCAGATGCGACTTCACTTCCCCAAACTCTACACCCTCGGCCCTCTCCACGCACACCTCAAATCCAGAAAGGCCTCCAAAACGGCGCCGTCAAAGGAACCGCCTCCTAATTCCATCATCACCAATAACAGTCTCTGGGAAGTAGATAGAAGTTGCATGGAGTGGCTCGACGCTCAGCCACCTAAATCGGTGATTTATGTGAGCTTCGGAAGCATAACCAGAGTCTCAAGAGATGATCTCCTGGAGATATGGCACGGTTTGGTGAACAGCAAGAAGCGGTTCCTGTGGGTGATCCGGCCCGACATGGTGATCGAAAAGGAAGGAAATGATCTGCCAGACGACCTAACGGAAGGGACGAAGGAGAGAGGCTGCATGGTGGGGTGGGCCCCGCAAAAGGAGGTGCTTGAACACGTGGCAGTTGGTGGGTTCATGACACACAGCGGATGGAACTCAACGTTGGAGAGTGCGGTGGCTGGAGTTCCGATGATATGCTGGCCTTGCTTTGCCGACCAGCAGATAAACAGTAGGTATGTGAGTGAGGTGTGGAAGATAGGGTTAGATATGAAGGACGTGTGTGATAGGAAGGTGGTGGAGAAGATGGTGAATGATCTGATGGCTGATAGGAGGGAGGAGTTTGAGAAGTCGACGGAAACTGTGGCGGCGGTGGCCAAGGCGAGTGTGAGCGAAGGTGGATCCTCGTACTCTGAGTTTGACCGTTTTGTTCAGTTCTTGAAGTCATTGAGTTCTGGGAAATGAAGTTTTGTCTTTTTCATTGGAAAATTGGAGTTTTGTCGGCTCATTGGAGATTGGACTTTCCTAATTTCTTTGCTCCTTTTTCGTTCTGGGCTTAGCCCAAGGAAGAAGTGGATTGTTTTGTTTGTTCTTGACGAGTACAAATATAATCTTTGGCCCAAAAATAAAAGAGTTCATATCCAATTGATGCGTGATTCTTCTACTTCTGGATCCATACATAACGTATCTTTGTGGATTTGATTACTGGCAATTTTTCTGTATCATACTTTTTCGGGGGTATTTGGCAACCTCCAAACCATGGTTTCAGAAACATTTTTTTTCGTAAAACGAGGCAAATTCCTCCACATATTTACTTTGTAAACTGTAAAAGCACTTCTGAAATCATGGTTTGGTTTCTATCCAAACACCCCCTTCACCTTAGTAGTGTGCGTGTCTGTGTGATGAAATCAAGTTTTTCAAACGAGACAGAAGAAATCAGTTTATCAAGTTAGATAGTGAATATGGAATTGATGGGCGGAGCCAATTATTACTTTGAATTATTATTACTCCTCCGGTCCTTAATATAGGATCCATTTAACTAATTTGATTATATTAAAGAAGTTAGGTAAGTTAGTTAATTATGATATAAGTGACACATTTTTCCTAAAACACCATAATCATCTTTCTTAATACCTCCTGTCCCTCTTCTACTTGGTTATGGTTGAGGGAGTATTCATAGGAGTAATTTAGAGAAAATTGATAAATATGAGAAATAGGTCTTATATTTAGAACCAAAACCAACTCAAGAATTGGATTCTATATTAAGGACCGAAGGAGTATTATGAAGTAGTGCAGACTATGCACTTTTTCTTTTGGCCAGAGTATAGACTTAAAATATCACCTTTCAACAATATTGTTGCCATTTATTTGATAATAACCTTCAAAACAATGCAACGAGGAAAGAGTAGTTTAAGGCTATGTTTAGATGGAGGAAAAAAAGTGAGAAAATAACAGGAGATAATGAATACTGGGAAGGAAAACTTCCAAAAAAAGTATAAAAAAAATTACTATTTTGAAAAGTTTTTCCTTCTAGTAATTTTTTTCTCATCTAAACAAAGGATGAAGTGCCCTGTGAGTTTGACACGTAAATTTAAAATAGAGCCAAGGAAAAGAAAAGGCATGACATGACCATCCATATGATAATGCTGCATAAGCTTCCCAAATAAAAAAGCATGTGTTAATTATATAATGTGATCGATAAGCATTGCTTAGTATTATGATTAGTGGATGCTAAGCTCACTGAGGGCGAAACAAAACCATTATATGCCTTTTGAGAAACTGATGAACTAACCCACATTGGTATTATCCCCTAATTAAACAATATTAACATATCTTCTCCATAGTCCTCACCTTCTCAATCCAGCCCGGTATTAAGTAGATGCCCCACCTTGAATTTTCACAACCAAATGTGGAATTCAATTAAAATTAAAATAAATAAATTTATAGAAACAGTAAGTGGAGTTAATATGTACATATTTAAGACTATAATAATCGTTGTTGGGTCAGCTTCAAAACTGCTTGTTTATATTTCCGGTGCCTTGTGAGACAGAGTAGGTCTTGGAACTTTTATGGTCATGTTCCTCATTTGGGTAGCTCTGTGCTTTAATGGAGTTATTAGAATTCAGTTAGGCACCTTTTTCTAGCTGAAGTGTGACCCGGTGAGGTTGGTGAGATTTTGGATTAAACACACGAAATATATATATATATAGTTTTTATTAATTAATATAGCTAAAGAATAAATAATATAAACAGGTTTAGTTCACCAACTTAACCATGTGTCCCCCCCCCCCCAGTTAATTAAACACAAGTAACCACTTCAGTTTTTGAAACTTGGTCATCAGTGTGGTCACAGTGAGAGTTATCCATATTATTATATGCTGGTTTTTGATTCAAGACTCGGATGTCCCATAGCTCCATAGTCCCAGAATCTTCTTATTTATATTAATCTCATAAATGTTAAAAAAAGAATATCAAAATTTTCATGAAATGGTAAAGCAAAAATAAATGAAACACATGGAGGTCCTCCTGTATGGACCAGGGACATTAAAAAACCTAAACTCTTTGGTGGTCTGCTCACGGCATTATATATATATAAAGTATGACTAGTCACTTTCTCTCTTTTCCCAAAACACGAAATAAATAATATGCTTTTCTTGAGACTAAAAACAAGTATGAATTTTTGTTAATATGATTCAGTTTTCATGGTTTCAGGCGGTCAATATTAATAAGTTTTCAGAGTTCGAGAAGATATACCATTGAAAGAAACAAATGAAGGTCAACCATTTCTCATTTTGTAATTTGTTCTTTTTTATATTTTTTGGGACAAAAATTTGAGGTAAAGTTCTAGCTAACCCAAGTATACTAATTTGGTACTCAATATAAAAGTTAGTTAAGACTCAAATTTGGTTTTAAATATAAAATTTTAATTCACTTTGTATGACATTTTTTCTCGGAATGTCCCTATTAATTAAAAGAAGATCCCACCAAAAAGAGTTGCAATACACATGATTATAGAAGATAATTTATAAAGATTAATACACATATGTGATAAAAAACTAACTCAATTAATTTTTTTAATATTTTTAAATTAGTTATCTCACTCTTATACTAAGAATCCGAAAGAGTATGTTAGGCCAAGTGAACCTAACAGACCTCAAGGCGTTTATGAAGGTGCCCTTAGATCTAAGATGCCTTCCCAAATGCTAGAACTGAGAATTGAACCCCCTCCTTTTTTGATACATATATAACTCTTATCCTTTTTAGTGAGAGGGTACAGTTCTTAATGTTAAATCCACCAACAATACATTGTTTTCTTTTCTTTTATTTGAACCAATGACGTGATTTTTTTTTCACCGACTAAAACCTTTAAGGATTAACAATTTTAAACAATTTGATTTACAAAGTGTGACACACTCCTAATGGAAACAAATATTAAACAATTTTTTGTATGTATTCAAATTCAAAGGAGATATAATCTGCAAGAGAAAATTAACTAACAACTTTGATTTACAAAGTGTGACACACTCCTAATCCATTTCATTCTTCAGGCAAAGCCCCAAAAAAGGCAAAAACTCCCATCCGTTGATCATTATGTGCGTTTGAAAATTCGTTAATTCAGTCAAAACCACGTTTTCACCAAAAACAACAGGAGAATATATAGTTTTATCTGATAAATGGCAAAATCACTTTCCAACGTGTTGTCCAGTATTTTATAGAAGTGCATTTTTTAAATTAAATGAACCGAGTATTTTACCGTTGAGTCCAAAAAAAAAACCATTCATGTCTTGGGTGATATTGATGTTAATTAATTGATTTTATTAATCAAATTACATGTATTGTACTGTCATTAGATTCCCTACAATGAAAGCAACTCAACATTTACAGAATTTTACTTGCTTAGACACTTTTTTTTTTATGAAATGTGAATTAATATTAGTACAATTATCAATGAATAACTGAATTGCTAGTTTATCCATTGCCACTGTGCTCAACTGTTAATAGTATAATTCTCAAGAGTTAAAACGAAGTATACCAAAAAAAAATGATTGGCTACCCATTTCAACTGCACCTTTTTCTTCAAAGTGCAATTTTTTTAATATTTTTCACGTTATAATTTTTTTGGGCTTATATATAGGAATTTACATAATTTTTGGTATTTGAGATAAAATTAGAAGGGGAAAAAAAGTAAAAAACAAAGCAGGCTCATGGCCATATGAGCTTTTGTGCGTTAGTTGCGCCAAAATTCACGACCAAATATCCAAAGTCGGAGATTGCGTCAGCATTCACTTTCATTTTGCACTCTCTCTGTTTCTCTTTAAAAAAATTTCCCATTTTTTTCACCTTTTCAAAGCTCAGAGTTTGGGTCTCAGGCAACGTTTCTCCAAAGTTAGAAAATAATAAAAAGTAAAACAGAAGAGAAACTGAGGTTATAAATATAGCATTTATTCCAATCATCCCCATGCTGGTTTTCGCTTACTCTTCTTCTTAGGACAACCAATTCTGAGGCTTTCTTCTCCCTTATCTCCTCTGTTTTCCGTTTAGACAATTTCAATCCATCTCTTTTTCTCACATGTCATTAACTAAACTTCAACTTCCATGCTTCTGGAAATTCAGATCCTTGTTTTAGAATATAGTTTTATTTCTTTCAGCACGAGCTGGTTGAGTTTTGAATCTTAGAATAAACCCTCCATGAGGGTAGCACCCTGTTTAAGGTAAGCTTCTTTTACGTGCAAGTTACCGTTTTCTGTTTTGATTACAGGCCATGAGCCCAAGAATGGGGGAAAAAAAATCATTTTCTTTCTTTCATTCTTTCACAAACTTCAACATTAAATTGCTTTTTCGCTCTTTCCCTTTTCGAAACTTTTCTTGGGTTCGCATCGCACAAGCAGATAAGATATAAAGTTTCCAACTTTTGTAGGCCCGCGTCTGTACCCTGTGTTTCCCCCGCTTCTATGGAACGAGGAAGGGCATGTGTGTGTATTGAAATGTGATTTTCATTGGTTATACAGAGAAGGTATAGAAGAGAAAGTAATCAAAACCAGAAATGGACTCATTAGAGAAGCAGAGAGAGTTTGCCGGCGACGATCAGGCGTCGCCGAGAGGTATACTGGAAATCCCTGTTTCAGGCACAGAATCTGATCACAGCGGAAGCAGCAGCATCTACAGCTCAAGCTCGCCGGAGAAGTCGTCGGAGGCGGAGAGAGTGAACGTGAGGGAAGGGTTGGGACAGCCATGGAAGGCGATGATGGAGTCGTTCAAGAAGAAGTCAGCGCAGAGAATATCGGCGATTTCATTACTTACAGCAAGCTACGAGATGTCAAGGAAAAGCTTGAGGAAGAGGAGAATGGAACGGATTCGAAGCGCAGAAGAGGGAATCAATCTGGGAGCCATACCCACAAAGCCTTCATGGAGGAACTTCGATTACGCAGAGTTACAAGCAGCAACCGACGATTTCAATCCAGGTAACAACTACCATAACCTTTTTTCTCTTCTGGTATGGCTTGTTTCTGCAACAAACAGCGAACGTCGATAAATTTTCTATGGCCAAGAAAAACAAAGAAATAATCTTCTTCTTCTTCTTCTTCGTCCTTTTTGTTTTTCCCAAGTTAATTGAATAAATTCACGAGCCTAGTTCGGTCAAAAAGGCTGGCCCCTCTGCTCCCTATTCGAAAAGCTAGGTCTTCCCATCGTATCTCCTTCGAGTCAATCCAGCCACACCATATAAAGTAGAGATAGTACTTCATAGAACGGAATCATAAACAATAATTTTCAGAAAGAAGACACCTTAAATTATTTATGATTATGTTACCAATGAAAATATTAATAATGCTCTTTCTCCCCTTAATCGTTATTCCCACATACAAACACATTTGTGTAGTTGTATTATTACCTGATCGATTTTGTTGACTTGTTTATTGAAAGAAGGCTGCCATAGAAGATTCAACGTTTACCAATTTGTTTGTCAAAAAACTGTTGTTGTTTGCAATCTGTGCTGAAATTTCAAACTCTCACTCATGTTTGGCGCTCACTTGAATGAACATTATATGGTGAAGTTTTCTTAATCTTGTGTGATAAACACAGGCAGGCCTTGGGTTCTTTCATGGAAAGAGTTTGCATGACACTAGAGGGATTTCCGCGAGTTATGTATATTTCAAGTATTGCATTTGATTATTGACCAAAAAGGAAAAAAGCATGACGTATAATCATATAATCAAAGAGCTAACGAAGTCACAAAAAGTAGACCTTTTACGCATACATAAATGTGTGTGTATATACATATACCCAAATACAGGCAGATGATATTTTAGTTTCAAATATAGATTTAAATATAAGATTTTTAGTTTAAAAGATAGATTATCTCTACAGAAGTCGGAACCCAACCTCTTGGGATGCATGTGCCGTGATCTTGTTGCCTTATCTTTTGCTCTAATGATCTCATCAACGGTGTCAAAAGGATTGTGTGCTCGAATCCTTTTACAAGTATTCTTTTCGTTTTTGTTACTGGATCTGGGGTTAGGTAATTTAGTTAGTAGCTGTGTAGCTTTCAAAACACAGGATGCAAGATTTTTTGTTTGAATCTTTCAACCCAGAGCTAATCAATTCGTTGAACCATGGACCTAATAAAGTTTGACTATGAAAAAGCCAAATCATAAACTATTCCTACAGGATAAAGAAACCCGGGCATCAAGGCCAACTTTTTAAAGTTTGGGACGCTATTAGTCAATACGTTATTTCAGTTAGCGAAGACTTCAGTTTCCATAGCCGCTCACGACAAATATGGTGGGACCTTAAGGAAGCTTTCAACCGTCGAATTAATTCTATCTTCATACCAGAACAATAAAACCAAAACCGGAAGAGCCACTAAATGTGAGTGTCAGGGTGAACTCCCTGCCTTGACCTTGAGGAACATATTCCTAACCCACTAATAATCCTCTATTTCTTTTTTTAAAAAAAGGAGGAAAATTTGACATTATGTTCAACTCTAAAAATAATTACCCAATACTATATTTGTGTCTGATAAAATTAGAGAAACTCCACCTGTTAATATGGACACCACTTTTGTGCTTTGTTAGAGAACCTGATTGGACAAGGTGGGCATGCTGAAGTCTACAGAGGACGTTTACCGGATGGTCAACTCGTGGCAGTGAAGAGGCTAATGAAGAAAGAGAAAGAAAATGAGGACAGGGCGGGTGATTACTTATCAGAGCTAGGCATTATTGCCCACATAACCCACCCAAATGCTGTGCGTTTGATAGGATTTGGGGTCAACAATGGTCTCTACTTTGTCTTGCAATTAGCCCCACATGGCAGCCTTTCTTCTCTGCTATTTGGTTCTCTCTCGATCTCTTCCTCCTCCTTCTACAAATGCTTTTCCACGTTAGTGTAGGCTCAACATTTTCTTTCACCAGGTCTCTGATTTTCCACATTTCAGGTTCTGAATGCTTGGAGTGGAAGACAAGGTTCAAGGTAGCTATTGGTGTGGCACAGGGCTTGCAATACCTGCATCATGATTGCCAAAGAAGAATCATTCACAGAGACATCAAGGCCTCCAACATATTACTAAACGAAAATTACGAAGCTGAGGTACCTCGGTAGTAGATTCTGCACGAATATAGTATTAGATTCTCTCCAATCATACGGGCCGAGGGAAATGATTCCTTGTGTTATAAACTGTAGATTTCAGATTTTGGACTCGCGAAATGGCTGCCAGAGAAGTGGACTCATCATGTTGTCTTCCCAATAGAAGGCACATTCGGGTCAGTATTGTTAGCTTCAGGTTTTCTACATCTTATTACCACTGTCAACTCATTTTATGACGCACTGGATCCATCCATCTTCAGGTATTTGGCTCCAGAGTATTTTATGCATGGAATTGTGGATGAAAAGACTGATGTGTTCGCCTTTGGGGTTTTGCTGCTGGAACTCATTACAGGTCGTCGAGCAGTTGATTCATGCAGCAAGCAAAGTTTGGTCCTCTGGGTAAGATCTCAATGTACCTGTATCCAAGATTTCAATCTTTGTTTTAGTGAATTTCTCATGTTAATATGAGATACTCAACATGACCAGGCAAAACCACGACTAGAAGCACACAGTGTGAAGGAATTAGTAGACCCACGATTAGAAGAAGCTTATGATTCCATTGAATTGAAGAGGACCATGCTTACTGCTTCCATGTGTCTCCACCATTCATCTTCCCACCGGCCATACATGAAACAGGTAAAGAAAAGAAAACCCTTTCTCCTGCAACATGATTCATTTTTGTATTTGCATGCTGAACCGGCGCCTTTGGAAAGTATAGGTTGTGCAGCTGCTGAAGGGTGAAGAGGGAATCGTTGATGTTAAGCAGAAGTCAGTACCGACAAGATCCATCTTGTTAGATGCCAGCGACCTCGAAGAATATACTTGCTCTACTTACTTGAACGATCTCAATCGTCATAGGCAACTAGTCATGGAGTGATCATGCCTAATCGCTGTGCTCTCTTTGATGAGGGGTTTCCTGTTATGTTCTTGTTTATGCAAAAAATCCTTGGCATGATCTTGGTAACGCATTGTGTAGAACAGCCAATGTCACTAGCTTCAGTCTCAATTGAAGCTTTCGAGTTTTCCAATGAAGCTTGAAATTTGGAGTGAACTGTAACAAGCAGTAATCAAGAAGTATGGTTTTTATCAGCACAAGGCACAGAATGACCTGAGAGAAGCTATTTCCGCCCCAAAAAAAAGGCCCATTGTACATCCCCAGAGAGTGTCTGTACCTTTTATATTCTGGAGTCGGCAGTGCCAATTTAAACATAGTCCATTCGCTCTCAATATCTATCTCTCAAAAGACCTGCATCTAAATATATCTATCTCAATATCTATCTCTCAAAAGACCTGCATCTAAATATATCTATCTCAATATCTATCTCTCAAAAGACCTGCATCTAAATATATCTATCTTTGGCAATTATACAAACGTGGACAACATTGTGTATAAAGAATTTTTTTTTTTTTTCCATGTGGAGAGATCTCTCAATTCCGTAAAATCTTCCCCTCATATAAATAATTAAGTGATATTTGAATTTTGATACAATAGATAAAACGGTGGTATGCAGAAGCTATTACTATTAAACAGCTTGATACTAATTGTCATGATTTTACAAGAAATTAATAATGAATCTCGGCATAAAAACGAATCCTCATTTAAAACTTCTTTGAACAAGTACTCAGTATTCAGCAGTGATGGGGGAGCCTCAATCCAATTAATGTATATTACCATGTCACATCGTAGTCATTCTCAATATGGAAACTTTGGGCTTCGGAGCCTTAACATTCAACCGCAAAATGAAAAAATCTCTAGGGCGTCGTTTTTTGTTCATAAATGGCCAGTGAATAGTAATAACCCAGGGGTGTTCTTGGCCCAGCCCAACCTTGTACAGGCAATGGGACCAGTAGTTTTATAATCTTAAAAATATACAAATAATGGGAGAAATGGAGAATAATATTATCAATATAGAGATACCTTTCGTCCCAAGTGCGAAGAAAATCCCCCACGACGGCAGTTTAAGCTATATCCTGCATTGACAAGGCAACGACACTGATGGCCAAAGAGTTGATTGTTCAACTGGCCTTTCTAATCCTAACTTTGTCAATTCTTTATGTTGTGCACAATCTTCGCAAGCAGCCGGGTCAAATCAGGGCTCGAAGCAGGGACCGAGATAACCACCAATCGAACCGCCATTTGGTCCAGGGATCTCGCCTTCTGGCTCGAGCCAGATCCAACTCCCATGGACCGCGATCAATGGCCCATGCCAAAAGCGCTCTGATAGAAGCCGACCAAGCTCTTTCTCTCTCACCCAGGGACCCCACAGCTCACATCCTTAAAGCTCTCGCTCTCGCTCTCGATCTCATGGGTCACCACACCGCCGCGCTCAGGTCGATGGACTCCGCTCTGTCTGTGCCCCACGTGAAGTCGCTATCGGCGGCCGAGCGCGAAGACGCACTCGTAAAGAGGGCGGAGTTGAAATTGGCAGTGAATCAACGTCGGCGAGTTGACTCGGCGTTGGAGGATCTGGATGAGGCGGTGAGGCTGAGCCGGGGGAGCAACACGACAGCGTTCTGTTTAATAGGGGAGTGTTACGAGTGGAAGGGGATGAAAGAGAAGGCCAAGGAAGCGTTCCAGAGAGCCATTGAAATTGATCCTGATTCAGTGAAGGCTCGTAGTGGGCTGGATCGATTAGGCCCATAATAATTTAAAGCCCCTTTTTAAGGGAAGCCCAAGATCCCAAACCGATCTATTTCTAGGCCTTTCAACCCAATGCCATTTTGCTAGTCGATGATTTGTACTTGCTTTTCCCCAAAATCCCAAACAATTGTAGAATGGTAGTGATGATAAGCAGCATTAAAAATTTGGTGGATAAATGTCCATCCCTTTTTGCTGATCAATGGTCACCTTTAATTAACCAAAGACGCAACGTCTGGGATTATCACGCAAGTCTCACACACTAGAGGTCCCCGGCTCGGCTCAGACATTCGTATTTTGCAGCATTTTGGTTTTCTTTTTATCAATGAAGATTGAACTTAGCGTCTCAAAAGGCAAAATGAGAAATTTGTAACCGGAAAAAAAAAGGCAAAATGAGAAATAAAACAAATTGAAATTTTATATTTAGAAAGGAATTAAATCTATCTCTAACACAAATAGTATGACGTCATTTGTGTAATACTTCTCCGGTTTTTAATATAGGATCTAATTCTTGAATTGGTTTTGGTCCTAAATATAAAATTCATTTCTCATATTTATTAATTTTCTCTAAATTAACCCTATAGATACTTTCTCGATCATAATCAAATAGACGAAAGAAAGAGAGTATTAAAAAAGATGATTATGATATTTTTAAAAAATATATTACTTTTCTTATAATTAACTAACTTACCTAATTTTTTAAATTTAATCAAATTAGTTAAATATAGAAAAGTACTACAATTTAACGCGTTGAAGAAAACTCTAGTTTCCGAAATGAACATAACGCCGAAAGCAATAATAGATCTTAGTCAATAATATTTTGATTCATGCCTCTGGTTTTACCGAAATTTTGAAGCTACCATGCTTTTACGTGTAGGACCGACTAGTTATGGAGAAAGATGAGAAGAAGTCAAATTGGGAACATAAGAAAAATATAAAGAAGCATTTATAAATTCTTGCACTACTCAATTTATCTTTCAAAAGTCACTTGCATGATCCAACTTCCTACATGTAAACCGGAACCCTAGCATTTACCAGCACCAAAACCTACCTTAGTTTTCTTTCTTCCCAGTTAAGGTATTATATATTCTCGATGGGGGTCAGCTGAACTGTAAGAGATAAAAACCTATTATAGCCTCTGATTTGTTAGCGGAAGACAAAATAACGAAGTAACGAAGATAAACTAACTAGTTTGCTAATCAAATAATCAACATGGCTGATGAGGCCACAGAAAAAACTCAGCAGCAGAAGCCGGCAGCGCAGTCATCGGAGCCGCCGCAACAGACGCAGTCACAGATACGGTTGAATCCACAGTACCAGAGCTGCTAGTAGGATAAAACTGGTGCAACAGATTGTGGTGGTAATGTGCTGCTGCAGAATCATAGGGAATACCACAAGGGATAGAAGAAGCAAGTGCAGGTTGAATGGGCGTGAAACTGATGGTTCCAGCGGTGGCATTAATCGCGTTTGGATATTGGGGTTGCTGGATATTGTGTTCTGATTCTGGGGAATGTTTTGCGCGTTTGGCTGATCCACCAACTGGCAGAGTACTCTTCATAATCGCTTCCACATCATATCTGCTCATCTCGAAGTTCGTCACAGCGCCCGCACCTCTGAATTTAATGGCAGCAATATCGTATGCCTCTGCGGCTTCCTCTTCAGTAGCTGTCACAATGTGTTTTTTGGTATATACGCATCAGAATATTATTTATCTTTTTCGTAATTGCATTCTACTCCATATTTCTTAGTTGTATATTACTCACCAAACGTTCCAAGGTACAGATCTTTGTTTCCTGCAACACGACCAATTCTTGCTTGCCAGCGACCTTGCTGATGATGCCTGCAGAAGCAAAAAGTGATCGGATAAACAAGACATAAGGATTGGAGGTACTATGAACAACGATAAGTTTTGATGATACTATGAATTATTTGTGTACTTTCGATACCTTGTTACGCCCCTGTATATAGAAGCTCCTCTAGAAAAACCGCTACTTTTCCTGCATATATATGAATGGGACGTAAAGTTTATCAGTTTACAACTCCTGTGCTGAAGAATAACACCCACAACGGGAATTGTTCAGCACAAAGGCGTTTACCTTCTCAGTGAAGCAATAAACTCTTGCTTTGTCACATGTTTCATCTCCTCCAATTCCTTTGTGTAATTCGAAACCTGTGAAAATTAGAGGGAACAAGTGCTGCTAAGTTCTACCGTCCAAGCCCATACCAGATTTGTGTTCTCCTTATATTATATGGATACAGTTCACCAGATATAAACTCCCTTGTGAAGAAGAAACTATTAACTAAAGATAGAAGGATTTAAGAACTTGAAAGTAACGACAATGGAAGAGAGCATTACAGGAAAGTTAGTGGTAGCAGTCGGACCCCAATACTTTAGAGCTGCCAAATCATAAGCCCTCGCAGCCTTGTCTTCTTTGTCATACCCACCTGATAGCCATCAAGATTCATTAGTTAATTGCAAGTCCATCTCACCACGTAAAGTTTTTTTTTTTAAAATCAATAATGGGCTGAGAACGAATCTGAAATAAAATTAAAAATCAAATATTTCATACCCAGGTACACTGTAGGAATCACCACAAGTGCCGCAAGCCACGTTCCATGCAAAAGGAAAAGGCAAGAAGAGATATATCAGCTTATGAGATGGTCAAAATAATCAACCAGAAATTACTATTTTTAATCCAAAAAAAGAAAAGTTCCATCCATGCTATATATAGTGCCTGCGCAAAAGCGCCTTTAGTTTTCATCCATTTTGTTTCTTTCTCTCTTTTGCCCCACAAGTCGTAGCTTCATAGTGCTAACGTGTCTTCTGAGACAGATACGTTTATTACCCCCCCACCCTCTGAAAGACCTATCAATGTCCAAATATAGTACCAAAATGAGCAATAGAACTTAGAGCTCCACCCAAAAAAATTAATTTCCTAATAATCATGCCACTAACTAACTCATCATAGTCAAAGAAATAGCGAATTGCCTTTCCTTCAGAGAGACTAACGAAAAATATCAGACAAAAACGCCTCTTTTTCCCTTTCCCTCCTTCTTTTTGAAAAAGTGAGACCACATGAAAACACTTTTTATGTTAGTTGAGTCTGCAACACAAGATCTAAGAGACCCGTGAGTCCGTGAGTATGTCTCAGAATGAAGAGGACATTATGAGATTCGCCTCTGTCAACGAGCTTTCAGCTAACAGTGGCGACGTAAGTACAGTTTTCAAAACAGTTGCTATGGTCAAACCCAGCTTTCCTCTGCCCAGCGAAAGCAAAAAAGCAAAAGCAAAAGCAAAAGTTAAGTCTCAAGAAACTCATCAGAAAGATGTGTATATATTATAGATCGACGACACAGTATTCAGGCTATGTAGGTGATTTGATCATAGATGTCTGTACCGTCTGATTCGAAGCCATGGATTGGGAGAGAGAGATCCCGAGATGATAGTCCCAATCCAAAACAAGCACAGAGATAATAATAAAAGCTAAACCCACGTGGCCAAAATGGCGGCACATTGGATCAAATCAACTTGAATGAAGTTGCAGAACTATAAAATTACAAGTACACGTATTTTACATCAGTCAATCATCGAAAAAGGCTGTTTAAAAAAGAAAACTCAGGTGTCCTATCCCCCTCTTCAGTCTTTACAACTATCAATGAGTTTTTTTTTTTCCTAAATTCATGCAAAAACCCCTTTGCAGTTTCCAGCTTACAGATTATTTTTTTTCCCGCACCAGTTGGTTCCAAATTTCTTCTCCCTTCCTCCTATATTATTCACTCAAGTCTTCTTAAAATTCAAGTCGTGCGTTTAATCTTATTATCATCATTTTTTCCCTTATCACATCCACAAGCAACCCAAATGGTGTACAAAACACGCACTTGGGGTCCCGTGCAGATGAAACAAAAGAGAAAAGAATTTTTTTTCCCCCTCTATCTTTAAAATTTTTGGCGAGAGCATTTTTCTCTGCAAAAATAATGGGGAAAGGTAGGTGATGCTCCTTAATCAACAGACAAGGGACGCAATAATCGACGTTTCAGAAACAGGCAGAAGATATTGCGATGAGTTTCCAATGCTCATGGACGTCAGGCATCGCTTCGCTACACAACAAAACTTTGAGAGAGAGAGAGAGAGAGAGAGAGATGAACCTTGACGTCCTTTCCTGGCTTGACCCTCTCTTCTGCAACTGTTATCCCATAGATGCGCTTCATATCTTCCCGTCCATCGGTGTCTGCATCCTCAAAAGAAAAGGGAATTAGTATAAAGAGTATACTTTGAAGTTTGAACCAAAGCGATGATGAAATGAGACAATCGGAATCAGGAATTTAATAGGACCTTGTAACGCCTCTGTAGATTGAAGTTCGCTGACCAAAAGTATCGGCTACTTTCTTCGAGCTATCTGAGTCCACCGGAACAATGGCTTTCTCACGACTTTGTGAGACGCCGAGGGACAAAGCACCCGTGGCGCAGCCGGAGAACGCCACGTCGTTCCCGGACGACTCGATCGCGAACTCCCCACAAGGAGCATGATGAGCAGTCTTGGCGATGGAAGCTGAGTCTTCCACCTCGGAGCCGGAGTTCGCAGAGAAGGCTTGAAACCCGGCGATCGCTTTCAGATCTTGCGGGTCGCTGAAGTAGCCGGCGCCGCCGCCTCCCTGCTCGTATATCTGCGTCAGTGACGAATCTTGCGTCTCCGTTTGGCTATCGGAGTAGCCCAGAAAATCTTCCAGCTTCGGCGCCCCGTCGTTGTGATTTTGTGGGCCCGCCAAGCTCTCTCCGCTTCGATTTTGCTCTACTTGGCAGTAGTAATCTGCTTGCGACCTGAGATTCGCCCAACCTGTACAGAAACCAAATCAAACCAAACCCAGAACAATATTTTCTGGTCAGCACTAGAAATAAACACAGAAGGAAGAAAAGCCGAGAAATTTTTCACGTGGCGTTACGTTACCATTGCCATAGAAATTATCGACAAAGTAGTGAGAGGGATGGTTAGCAGAGAGGTTGTCGTATTGAACGAACTGAGAATCGGAGGACCTCAGCATTTCCATCGGCGACAACGAAAATGACAGCCAGTTCGTAGCGCGAGCCATATTATGTTCCCTTGGTTGAAGCCTTACTAGTGTTGTTCTTCTTCTTCGGTTGCCCTGAGAGAGAACAGAAGAAGCTATCTAGAATCACATTTTTAAAAACAAATCTTTTGGAGGAAACAAACAAAGTTTGCAATAAAGTGCAGTTGCGCAGTAAAAGCCCAAAACTGAAAATCACCTCTGAGCTAAGGCGTTACTGAAAGCTACTCCGCCAGGTGGTCGAGACAGAGAAAAGCACGATGCTTGGAGACGATGACGGGCTGAGAATCGGTTTCAAAAAGCATTGGGATTGGGACTTGATGGGGAAGAGGATGTACAAGAACTCGCATGCAAGTTAAGCATTGAAGGAGATTTAATGCCTCCAGTCAAAAGAAGGAGATAAGAGAGAAGGAGAAGGGTGGAGAGAATGAAGAAGCGACGAAGTGGAGTGTTTATAAGAGAGAAAGACGAGCGGTTTCAGCAGCCAACCGGCGTGAAACAAGAGCGATGAGCTATTGAGCTTTTACACTGGTTCCGAAAGAAAGAGAAAGAGAGAGAGTTTGGGAAATAAATGAAAATGAAATAATTAAAAAAGGAAAATAGGGAGATGTGGCTTTTTGGACCTGAGCGAAAGAAAATTTGTCTGACCGAGAATGGTCCACCGGAGCGGAAAATGGAGGCACTGTTAGGAATCGTTTCAGTTTCTTTTTTCCCCCTTGCCAGAATGGCCTCTCTAGATTCTCATTTTGATCTTCTTTTTTTTTTTTCTTGAAAAAGAAAAGGAATGGCTTCTATCTGTGTTATCTTCATAAAATAAAAAATAAAAATATATGAAGAATTTTAAAGCACATTTGGCACACTTGTCGTCCATGCACATTTCTGATTTCTTTACTTGCGGTCCGGTTCAGTGGGATCCGGGTTGTGGTTTACTCCGACCCAACATTCACAGTTTGGATGTGGTTTACTCCGACCCAACATTCACCAAATTTGAATTTCCTGCTTATGGTATTTTTTTCCCAAAATATAAATCTCGCATATTTATTTATAGTTTATAGTCAAATCTACTTCACGGTCTTAATGTTTTGTATGATTTTATAGTCCCGGCAATATGTGTTTATTTTTTGTAGGTCAATTATCGGTTGCCTATTTCACAGAAGATTGGAAAATATGCAACGAAATTTCGTGACCAAAAAAAAAAAAGGTTAAGATATTCAGATACATCCCCTTTTGACTTTGTGATCAAAATAAATGCTGCTGCTGATCAGTTAAATTGGTCACTGACCAGTGACCACAACTTGCCAGTGCAAAATCGGACTCCTTAATTTTTACCATCACATCAAGAAATAAATTCCCATAAAATACTACTCCCTCCGTTTCTTATTATAAGAGACATTTGATGCTTATGGCATGTTCCTATATATAAGAGACACTTACAAGTTGTCTCTATTTTTTTGTGTTGATTTACTATTTTACCCATATTTATTATCTCCAACTCACACTCTCTCTCCCTCCCACTTCTCTTTCTTTTAATAATTTAATTGTTCTCTCTCATGCTCTCTCTCCTTATTAATGAGGGTATTTTTGGAAAAAAAATTATACTTTTTACACATTAATTATTCTTAACTAATTTTAACTGTTTTTTTATCAACGTACTTCGGTTATTTGTCTCTTATAATAAGAAACGAAGGGAGTATCATATAAGACTACTTCTAGAATCTTTTCATATTTCATAATAAAAAACTATTTTTCCATCAATAATTAAAAAAATAAACTCTTGAGAAAGTTGGTAGGATTTCAAACAATTCCTTTCATGCAATTAGCCTTCAATTTGTTGGCCAAAAAAAAAATAGCCTTCAATTTATTATTAGGAGCGTTATCTTTGACTTGCTTTAAAAACAAAAACAAGTTCACGATTTATTGGGAGGAGAGAGAGTAATTAATATAATGACATAAATGACTTTAATTAAGAATAGTTTTTAATTAGAATCTTCCCATAATTAAAAAAATACAATGAAGGTTATTGATTAATTTTTTTATAAAAAAAAGTGTTTGGATTAATCAAAAAATACTTTTAAAAAGCACTTTTTATAAATTGAGACAAATTTTTTTATATACTTATTTTGTATATTATAAAAATATTTTTAAAATTATAATTTTGTTTCTACCTAAACACTTTTAAACAAAATATCATATGGATACCAAACGGTGAGTTTGCATATCTTGCCAACATTTCCTTGAGTTCCTTTTTTTGTTCCCGCCAACTTTGCCGGAATTCTTTTAATCTTATTTATTTTACAAGCCACTCTTAACATACTGCACCGAAATAAAGAAAAATTTTAAATTTTATTAAAAAATTTTAAAATTTTAAATTTTTTTAATTTTACTTAAATTTAATATGCACACTTTCTTAAAAAAAAGAGAGCAATCTATAGAATAATAAATGAAAGCTAAAATACATTCATATAAAAATTTTAATAATATGACTCATAAATAAGGTGAAAGCCATTAGTTGGCAAAAACATTTATAAAAACAAAAAAAAACATTATCTTCAACCTATAAACATCGCCGAAGGAGTAGATACAAACACTCCCTTTGGATCCCTATTATATATATAGATAGCATTTCTAGCTACCTCGCCCAAACTAAAAAAATGGGGTCAGTTCATTAATCATTAACTTGAACTAAAACAAATTATGATTTTACTCATGTTTAAATAGACTTTTTTTTTTGCATCACATGAGTCTGAATAAGACCGATGTTGGGAAATTTAATTAACAGTTAAGTTACATCCAGTATTCTAAAATATTTTCTCAGATGCTAAAATATTTTGTGGTGCATCCAGTACTTTAAAGCATTTTTTTATGCATCCGATATCTTGAAATATTTTTTTAAGTGTGTCCAAGACCTAAAAGTATTTTTTAGTGTATTCAGCATCAAGACAAAAAAAATTCTAAGATACTAGATGTACCTGAAAAATATTTTAGGATATTAGATGTATATAAAAAAATACCTCAGTTGCTTTATTCACTTTAGCCCTTTAATTAATATCTCATCAGATGACTTGTAAAGTCATAACAACCGTCAATCTCTTCTAAGTATAAGGAGGAGCATGATTATGGGCATATATTGGGACTTTTGAGTTTGTAAGTGCTGCGGTTGGGTTTTAATGGTTGAAGGGAGTGTTTGAATGCCCTTAAAATCACTTTTCAGAAGCACTTTTTTGTAAATCGAGACAATCTCTTTTATATATTTGCTTCGTATACCGTAAAAACACTTCTGAAACCATGGTTTTGATCTTATCCAAACACCCCTTAATGAAGGTTTGGCTAGATACATGCATCGGCATCATATTATATTGAATATTGAAGTAAGAGCCTGCAGGCTGCTCAAGAGCCAACGTCTCTCGGTGAACAATCTAAGAAGGACAGTGGCTTAGGGTCAGTAAAAGTAAAATCAAAACCATCTAACTGATAGTTGACAGTTTGGATTAAGTGAATTAAGAGATCACTATTAGCAAAGATTAAATAAAGAAACAATGGAGGAAGAGAGAGAGAGAGAGAGAGTGGTGGACCAGAGAGCGGGAATACGGGAAGCAGAGAACTGTGAAAGGGGCTATGTAAAAGACACGAGCTTAGGTAGAGCACATAATATGCGTAATGGATGGATGTGTCACTTTTTAAGGTTAAATTTGAATGAATTGAGGAAACATGCCTTCACTATACACTGCCGTTGAATACGCATTGTTCTCTGCATTTTACTGCTCCCTCACTCCCCCCCCCCTTTTAATTAATTAATTAGCATCCTATCCTTCTTTAATTTCTCCTTTCATTATACCCACCACATATTCTTAATTCATTTAAATATGTGGGTTTTAAGTTTTAACCCTTTTGTTTCATTCACTCTCTTATTTTATTCGCATATGAAAGCTGGAGTTTTGCATATTTTATAACCCTCATCGCTCATGTTTGAATCTGAAGCAAGCAACTAACCGGAATGATACTATACTAGGAAGGACTCCTATACAGTATAAGTAATTTTCTTCACCAAAATATAATTCAATTTGATAATATTGATAATATCTAATATTTATTTTTCTCTTTTGCCCTTCTACATGTATACAGCTAAACTTTATAAGTGATTATTCATTTTGCAATAATATTGACTTCTATCACAGGCACACATAGCATATCAAAAGCTTCACAACTGCTTGACCTATTTAATGGGGGGGGGGGGATAAGTTTATTAGTAACAAATGACAACTTGTTCATATTTAATTTAATTGTGATTTTATTTCTTGGTCAAGTCAACCTACATTTTATGAAGATTATTATAAGTATCTTAGTGCATAAACAACCGTGGTTTGTGGGGGGCGTATCAAGATACTGTCACTATAGAATTTATTACTCCATTTACTATTATAAAATAATTTTTTTAAAAAGTTCCAGGATTCAATTAATAAGGCATTCAAGGGCACAAAAAAAAAAGGGCATTATGTATCATGTCAAGAATAATTAATATTTTTACTTCAAAAATGCCCCTTACAAATAAATAATTTACTGATTTTTATAAACAACACTAGATATATGCGCAACAACTTATTTTTCCAAGAAACGGGCTTTTGATTTCAAATTAATTTCCTCGATTTTTTGGGGGGCGGGAAGAGTGGAAATTTAAAACAGAAACTCGTGCATGAACAAATAACTGGGTATCTCAAATATTAATTATTATCATTAATACCCAAAGAGACTGTCAAGATTTGGAAGTTGGAATCTTTTGCCAATTTCTTTCTCTCGAAGAGAAAGCAATAAATCAATCTGTCTTTGAACTTTTATAAAAGTGATGTTGTGACACACTGTGTTTCCTGCGCTAGCTAATACTACTACCATCTTCTGCTTATTTACAAGTCACTTGAAACTCAAACCTGTAAACAAAAAGATATGTTAAATTGATCATTTTTTTCACAGTTATCGTTATTAAGCAAAGAGTGTTAAAAATATATTTTATATTTCATTTTATCTATTTAATTACTTTATTCTTCTATGCATTTATTAAGTTAATGAGGGTAAAATTAAAAAAAAGTTCATTAATTATCCTACAAGTGACTTATATATAAAAATATAGTAGTACATTTTTAACTAATTAGTAGTATAATACTACATTATATATAAAATTAATGTTGTTATTAATATTTTTCTTTTGGCCA